CCTCCCCCCAGCCCCCCCCCACAAAAACAACAAACCAACAACAAACAAATAAAACCAAAAACAAACAAAGAACAAAACTCACTTTGGGATCGACGAAGAGCAGAGTATTCATTGGTATCCAGCAGATGAAAAAAGCCAGCCAGACAACGAAGAGGTTCTTGGTGAGTTTCGCCTCGTACATGGACGGGTTCCCGCTCACCACTGCCCCAGGGAACCGCTGCAGCTTTCGCTTACTCTGGGCAAATGTGACCCAAATCTGGGAGACAGAGAAACCTTTGACAAGTGACCTTTACAGAACCAAACAACCAAGCAAGCAAGCAAGCAAGCAAGCAGGCAAGCAAGCAAGCAAGCAAGCAAGCAAGCAACCAACCAACCAACCAATCAAACAAACAAACAACCCCCCCCATCCAAAAAAACAACAACCCCAAAACAAAACAAAACACCCCAATGAGATTGCACATCTTCCAAATATTTGGAATAATGTAACGTTGTACACTGGCATTTCTATAAGTTGCGTGAAAGCGTAATATAATATGGTATTCTGTGCTATGCACATACGATATTTCATTGCTTTCCTTCATACCATAAAATATTCCACAGTCTTGATACGAAAGGGGTTGTCGACCTGAAACAAGTGCGATACCCTGATGTTGCAATAAAACTCGACTCTGATATTATTATGTTTGTACACATTTTTAAATGTTGTTCGGGAGAGTTGGAGACGTTTTGTTCCTGAGGCATATTATGTCCATGAAACTTCGCGTGAGTTGAAAAGTGTTATTGTTTCCTTCTAAAGAAGATTTTGATAAATGGGAAATTGACCATTATTATATTATTATGTCTGTCGTCTACTTCCTCACTTCCATTATGGTTAATCTCTTCGCTGTCACAATCACATTTTCTTCTATTTCTGTAGAGATCTTCTTTTTCGTTTTGATTTTAGTATTTCGGTCAGAATTTTGTAGACGTACATTTGGTAATTTCTTTTTATATAATATGGATTTGAGTGCCTGACAATCTACAATAATATGGAAAGAAAATTAGAAGCAACAGGGATATGGTTCGTAGGGAGATTGATGGAGATAATTATAGTAGAGAAAAAAAAAGACAAACAAAGAAGTGCTGGAAATGGCAAACATGAGAAGATCGCTCTTCGAGACAACAAGTAAACGACATATGAAACTCACGTGGAATTGTTACAGAAAAAGAGGCTGGCATGGAACAAAGTAATAAGGACGACAGGACAAATAGAAGGGAAGAAAAGGTCTAGAACGCCAATGCGTGAGATTTATAAATTACTAGCCGGGCCTCCTTTCGATGAAAGGAATGATCGGTGCTTTAATATCAACTAAAAGTCATTGGCCTACTATATTTACACTCAAATGGAATGGGGCAATAAATCTTGAGAGATGCAAAAAACTATAAGGTCTGGATCTATACTCTCAAAACAAAATGCGCCACACGAAATATCACTTCCGGATTTTCTAAAATTACGGATACAGAAGTGTCGGCCTATAAAAGCGATCAGCGATATAAAGAAATTTAGCTTTTTGCAGCAAAACTGTCTCAAAACTGAAAAAACCAAGGGCGTCGTGCACTGGAGAATATTTTAAAGAATTTTTTGGCGAAAACCGCATGTCGATCGATGCAGCCATTTAAAAGCCTTTTGAATAGCAAAATTCGGCCACCACAAATAGATAATAGATTATAGCCCGACATTTGCGTAACTAACACAGAAATGTGTGGGTGGTTTGTGGGTGCTTTGGTGTGGCTTGCTCCTTTTTTCCTATCGAACATCTATCATCCTTGCCTCTTCTCCTTTTTTTTGGTGCATTTGTTTCTCTCTTGTAACATCTGTCATCTTCCTCCCACTTATAATAAAGGAAAATCTCATTGTGTTGCGAGTGCCGTAAAATGCTTACTAAAATTGAAGACAAAAAGAAAGATTAACAAAGGCACATTGTTAAGTTCCACCATCACTATAAAGTCATGAATCATAGCTTTACTAGCAGATACATCACTTGTTGTGTTACTAAGGTTTTCTTTTTTGATAAGCCTGTTTCCGAGTTTATTAAACGATGTACCGACATCATTGCTGGTCGGCATCGCACACTAGTGGGCAATAGTATGGTAATATGAACGTTTTTAAGCACAAGCGGGCTAACCCAGACTTCGGGGGTTTCCAGAAATCCTGACCTACACCAAAAAGTGGGCATTGCCCTACCTATAGGAGAAGTTTGGTTTCATAGATGGGT